TTTGGTGGAAACAAGAGATTCCAAGGACGTTGTTTTTTAAAAGTTTTACTGATAATTTTGATTTTTTTTATGCCACATTTATTCCTACCACCCCCTACCCATGGACTCTCCCTTGTTAACAAAGAAACCCAAGCAGCCAAAGAGGAAATTTAGTGAGGTGTTTCCATGCCTGGGTCTATACTGTTGATATTATTAATTAAGGTTTTAATAGGTCACTATGGTTGTGTTGGCTGAGGTGATGGTAGTTCTGGGTCCTAGGAAGAGAGTGTCTGAGTAGTGATGGAAGAGCTGGGAAGCAGAGATTTGAGGCCACCCAGGGAAACTCCTTTCTGCCTCAATGTCCTCATTTTCCTTGATGTCTTTGAAGAATTTGATATTACTAACTGGCCTTATTGAATGAATGAATGAATGAGTGAAAAATCATTTATTAAGCATTTTCTATGTATGTGCCAAGTACTCTTGAAACTCCCCTGTTGATTGCCATACTATGACTATATTCAGTTCAATCCAAACATTAATAAGCACCTACTGTGTGCAAAGCACTGCTCTATTCTGGTTTTCCCACCACTCTGACTCTCCCTTCCTTTTCTTGCCTGTGTCTTCTCTTCCTTATACCACGGTGATTTCAGAAATTCTCCAAGGCTTAGTCATGGACCCTCTGCTCCTCTCTCCTCTTTCTTCCTGGGAGAACTTAGAACACATCCATTCTCAAGCTTCAGCTATCACTTTTTGCACTTAACTTCCAAATTATATTCTAAGATCTCTTTTCACTTGAACATTATATGATTATGTGTTAGGAGAGTTGTAGCCAGGTGGTGGTTGGAACTAATGAATGGTTTAATTAATCAAAACTGTCTTCTAAGATGGTGGGTCCTGATTTCCCATTGGCTCTTGCTATTATTTTTGTTATCATTCTGAAGTGTGTCAAAGGTGGGAGTATTACCAAAACAGAATGGACTGATCTTGGCATTTGAACAAATGAATAAAAAAGGATCTCTTAAGTGTCTTCTGTGTGCTGAGTGTTGGAGATAGAATGATAAAGTCAGACAGGCTTTTCTCTTAAGGGGCTCACATCCTAATGAGGGAAAAAACTTATACAATAGTGCTAAGCAGAGAGTCAAATGGAAAAATCCAGCGGAAAGGTGCAGTCGCAAAGCAGATGGTCATGAACCGTCTTTAGTGTGGTTTACCTAGATAAAAACCATTTGGAAATGTCAAGGCCTTTGTTGGCCCATCCTGGATGTTTTCCAGCACCTGGGGAGGTGGCGTGATGGCTGCCGACACCATGTTGGAACCAGGCCAATGGTTGTGGTCCAGAAAGCAGGAAAGGGACTGCTGTTTGTGGGGCTCCTGGGTTCAGGTGGTCAGCAGTTAATATTAGTGGTTGTGGGGATGGCAAGCCTTTTCTCTACAGGGTGATGATGAACAAGCAAGATGGAGGAGGGAGGTGTTCTAAAATTGGAGAATCATAGAATTTGGGGGTTGGAGGGGAGCTCAGCAGTCATCTAGTCTAACTCCTATGTCAAAGAATCCTAGATGAGTGGGCATTCCATTCTTGCTTGGAGGTCTCCACAAGTCAGCGTGTCCGGATCTCTTGTTTGACTAAATGATAAATTTTCCTTGATATTCTCTTGTCCCTTCAGACTCAGACTCCCCAAAACTGAACTCATCATCTGCCCTTCTAGCACCAGTGCCCCATCCCAGCTTTCCCACGTTTTACTATTGGCACCATCTTTCTCCCGTTCACCCAAGTTTGGAGCCCAGGAGTCATCTTGGACTCCCTCTTCTCTGGCCTCTCACCCCCAAGGCACTGTCAGGTCTTTTGTGGTATTTCTCACATCCAGTCATAACAGGCATCAATGTTGCACTTGAGTTTAAAAAATGAGTGTCACGGGGCAGCTAGGGTAGTGCAGTGGAGCACCGGCCCTGGATTCGGGAGGACCTGAGTTCAAATCCAGCCTCAGACACATAACACTCACCAGCTGTGTGACTCTGGCCAAGTCACTTAACCCCATTGCCTAGCCAAAAAAACAGAACAAACAAAAACAAAAAAACAAAAAACAGATGAGTGTCACAAGTTAAAAATTAGAAAGGCATGGCAAGACAGTGGGCCATCTGGAAGGGATCGGTGGGGTTCAGTGGGCAGTAATTTAATATGGGTCAAGAATATGCTATGGAAACCAAAAAAGCAAATTTACTCCTAGCCCATAGTGAGTTAGGAATTGCAGACAGGCAGATTTAGACTCAATAGTATTTCACAGGATTTAGAACTAGAAGGAAGGAAGAAAACAAGCATTTATTAAGCACCTACTATGTGCCAGGCATGGTGCCAAGCACTTTACAACTATCATCTCATTAGATCCTTACAACAACCCTGTTCCCATTTTGCAGTTGAGGAAACTGAGGCAAACAGAAGCTAAATGACTTGCTCAGGGTCACATGACTAGTAAGCATCTGAGGCAGGACTGGAACTCAGGTCTTCTTGACTCCAGGTCCAGCCATAACTGCATCACCTCACTGCCTCTAAAGACCACAGAGATTGTCTAGTCCTAGGCCCTCACTTTTTAGATCAGGAAAATGAGACTCAGAAAAGTTAAGTGATTTCTCCAAACCGTCCCTCCCACCTTTTCTGACCATGACCAGTGGCCTGCTTCCAACATGGCCATCGTACCGGAGACGAGGCTCAGCCACCACCTCCATAGTTACCAAAGAACCAGCCAGCAAAGGCCCTGGCATTCCCAAATGGTTCAGTGTCAAAAACAGAAATGATTTTTATCAATATAAACAACACTAAGGAAGGTTCCTGACCTTCTGTCCAATAAAATATCCACAAAAAGATGTTGAATTCCATTCTAAAGTCGTGGCCATTTCTGAGACATTAACTCTCCTGGTCGGATTCGGTGATAAACCTCTTACTTACAGGCAAGTTTTAATTGATAAATATAAACCAAGACCAACTGACAGCTCCAAAGGAACATTGATTTTTTCTTTAAAAAAATTTTTTTATTCATTTTGAACTTAAATACAGGAAGACAAAAAAAGAGAACGTTTCCATGTACACAGCACAACCTAAAAAGAGGATTCATGATAAAACCATGACTGCATTTCACATTATATACTGTTTTTGGAAAACTATATAAGTACAACTCATCATTTTCAAAGCTACTCTTCCTTGTCTGCTTCTTTCTGTACTTTCTTCTATTGTCTGCTGTGCACTTTTTGTATTTTTTCCTTCTACCCTAGAAATGGCTACCGTTAGACACAAAAATGTATGTGTGTGTATGTATGTGTGTGCATAAAACCATACTATACATACTTCTGTTTATCAGTTATTTCTCTGGAGGCAGATAGCACCTTCCTTCCTAGTTCCCCAAAAGAAGATTTATGTAAGGTTGAGCATTAAGTATGCAGCTGTCATGTAAAAACTTTCAGCAGTGAATGCTAAGAAATACCATTTGACCCCAAGCCATCTCGATTCCTTATTGAATGGCATTTCATGCCAGGCCATTTTCCAGCCATTTTTGCAGCAATAGCTCGGTGTAAGGAAAAGCTCCCTGCCGGTGAGGGCTATCCCAGCATGGAACGAGCTGCCTGGAGTGACAGCGGGCTTTCCTTCCTTGAGCGCAGGCTGGAAGAACTGCTGTTGGCCGTGCTGTGGGGGGGGTGGGGGTTGGACTCTCTCCTCCCATGCAGATTGGTGCCCACTCCACCAGAGACAAAATGGAGTGTGTCAGGCAGGCCAGGAGCTGAGGCTTCCTGACCCCAAGGCTGATCGTTGCCTTTCATACACAACACAGACACTGAAAACAGTGGGTGAATTAAAGAACGACTGAAGTAGCCTCTCTGGGCCTCAGTTTGCTCATCTGTGAGAAGACCTAATAGTTCCAGCCCTTACAGGATTTTTGTGATGTCAGATGAAAAAGTGAACTTCAGAGTTTTTTTGAAAGAGTGTAAGAACCATATGTAAATACAAGAAATGATTAGTCCTTATCCTACTCTCCCTTTATGTCTCCTGACTTCTTCTGCCGCCTCTTCTGGGGGAAACTACTGTTCTCTCCCTGGCATTGCCTAAGCCTTTCCAGCTTCCTCACGTGCCATCCTGAAGCAGCCCCAGCAAACTCCAGCCATGCCCTACAGACCATGGCCCTCCCCTCCCTGACCTCCTGCCCCAATTTCCACTCCCTCCAAAGGCTGGAGATCTCAAGAACCTTGGAAGAGCCTCTGTCCCTGGGGGTCTTCCTTCCCCCCAGACTGGATTAGGCCAGGACACTGGAGGGATGTTAGAGGCGAGGTGCTTGTCCAAGGAGAAAGTGCACTGGATACCAACCCTAAGAGGCCAGGAGAGTAGAGGTCCGACCTTACTTTATTTGGGGACCGGCTTGAGGTCTTGCCCAGGCTTGAGGTATGGTGGATACTCATCAACTCGATCCCACTGCTGAGAGCGTGGAAACTTTGACCTGCTCCATTTGCCCCTGGCTAGCTCATCCCTCCCTAGGGAGCCTGTGGTCCCCTGCTTCCAGAGGCTCACCATATTGGTGCTGGCCTCCTCTGGAGCTCTAGAGATCCCACAGCCAGCAGCAGAGATTACAGGTGTGGACCACCACCCCTGGCTAAGCCTGATGTTAGAGTTCTGGGGCCACACACACCACTGAGTAGGTAATTTTGGTAAACTTAAAGTAGAGGTTTGGTAAGCAAAGGCATCAGGATGAGTTGCAGAGCACAACTAGGCTTCCATTGACTCAGTGGAAAAGCAAGAGCCACTGGGGGGCGCCCAAAGCCAATCTGGCTTGTGCACCGAAGGGCTGGCGGTTTTCCAAGTCTGGCTTCCCCTTCTGAAGGTGGTAATAGGGAAGCCAGAGCCAGAGGTGAGCCTAGCTGGGCACCTGCTGGCCACCTGTAGCAGGCTGGCTACAAAGCATGCGTGGCTTTTCCGGGCATTAGGACACCCTTGTCCAGGAAAGTGCCAAAAGAGGCAGGCGGTCACATTAAGGAAGGCGGGCTGCCAAAGCTGTTATATTTTATTAGTATATCTCATTGAAGCCCCACCCACCCGGCAGGCTCAGCCCAGGATCCGCTTCTTAGGCACCAAGTGGGGAGCCCCCTTTGCCCTGTAGAACTTCTGTGGTCTACACCATCCTTTCAGGGATAGATGTGCCAGATGTCAAGAGGTCCAGGGACTAGTTTTACTTGGGCGACAGGAAGATTGCCTGCTGGCTTTATAAGGACTCCTGATGAGCCAACCTCAGCTGGTTGGTTGAGTTTGCTTGCTGGTAGAGGTCACTATGGCTGCTGGCAAGTCAGAGGAGCCCCCCCAACCTGGAGTCCTGAGGCTCTGGGACATCCTTGCCATCCCAGCCTCCACCCCCTCCAGTACAGGGTTGTTTGAAGAAACAGCAGCAGGGTCCCCTGTCCACTCAGAAGGCCCCTGGGAAAGCGGCAGGAATGCACTGGGCATGACTTCTAGACTGATTCCTTAGATGGGGTACAGGTGCCAGAGGCTGCAGAGAGGACATAGTGGAGATGGGCCCAGGCAGGAGAGGGAGGTGCCCTGCAGCCTAGTGACCCAGCCCCTATGGCTCAGGTTTTTCAGAGTCAGTCTGGGAGGGAAATGGAGCCAGATGGGGAGACCCCCCCCGCTTCCCTTTGTCCCCTCCCTTCAGGTAAGGTGGCCATCAGTGCCCTGGGAGCCCAGCCACCACCAGGTGTTATTAAGAAGCTTCTTCCTGACCCTGCCGTCAGCTCTCAGCTAGGGGAGGCTGCTGCCTATCAGGGAGGGGCAGAGACTGGGGAGAGGAGGCATTGCTGCAGCTGGAACTCTTCTTTCCCTGAACCCTGGCACTCGGATTCCTAGTAGCTCCCAACCCAAAGTCTGCTCTCACCTGCATTGGTATTGGGGATCTTCAGGGTGGGCCCACAGCACTTTGAGCACCTCTTGGGGAGGTTCTAGGCCCAGCTGCTCTGCTCTTTCCCATCGCTGGAGTCGAGTGATCCCTACCAGAGAGAGAGGCTGCAAGCTAGCACTCCAGGCGAGAGAGACCTAGAAATGGGGCACTGCCAGAGTGAAATGGGGCGCCCCCAGAGAGGTGAGGGCCATTCCCCATCAGGGAAGGGCCGTTCAGGGCTCCTGGAAGCTCTTACCTGTGCAGGGTCCGAAGTGCCTATTCAGGTCAAACTGCCTCAGTATCTCTAAATGGGTTTCGTCCAAGTGGGCTGCAAGTATCTCCTCACATGGCTCCTCCCCTAACAAGAGAGGCTGTCCTTCACTCTCAACTCCTAGCTCTTTCGACCCCTGCCCCGAATCCCCCTTCCCCAGTGCTCTGCATCCCTTTTTCCCCTACCCTTCACCCTGCCTCCCCCACCCCCTGCCCCGCTTCCCTTTTCCCGCTTCTCCCATGCCTCTGTCCCCCTGTTCTCTCTGCCCCTTCCCCGGCTCCCTCCCTTCCTCCTACTTCTCAGCTCTGGCTCTGTGGTTCGGTCTCCCTGCCATCTATCCCCTTCCCCCGTTCCCCCTGGCCGGAATCCCTCTCCCCTCTTGCCCCCCACCTCGCAGCCCTGGCTCGGGCGCCCCATCCTCTTTGCCAGGTCCCGGCCCGCCCTTCCTCCTCTTCACTTTGGGGAAGGAGTCGGTGATAAGCCTCCTCTTCCGGCCCATGGCAGCCACCCAGGGGGGCGAAAGGCGAGGGGAGAGACAGCTGCTAGGCGGAGGACGGGGCCAGCGATGGACAGACGCGATGACCCAGACAGGCGGCTAGAGGGAGGAAGTCCAGCTGCTTCCAGGCAGGGACCGCCCCCCCGCCCCCGCCCCCAAACATGCCAACGGGGCCCGGCCAATGGCAGGCCGCGGACGAGGGGCGGGAGCCCGGCGGTGGCCAATGGGGTGCGGCGCAGGGCCAGGGGGCGGGGCCGCGGTTGAGCTCGGGAAGGAGAGATGAGTCTGAACCCGAAGGCCGAGGCTGCCCCAGTCGGGCCCGGCCGGTCCCGCTGGACGAGGTCCGTGCCAGCCCCGCCCCCGGGCAGATGCGGTCTTCGTCCCCTTAATCCCTGTGACCGAAGATTCCAGGCTCGCGCATTCCTCTCCTTGTCCCATGGAGCTAAGGGGTGGGAAGTGGGGGGAACCAGGCGACCCCCCCTCATCGACACCCCCGGCTTCCCCCGAGGCTTCTGGTTGGGGGGGGCAGGAAGAGCGACTCACCCTTGGCAGAGGAGCCCGAGGCGACCCATGCCTGGCGGGGGGCGGGGGGGGGCTTAGTTTCCTGGTCTGTAAAATGGGATGACTGCTCCCTGCCCTGCTGACCTCACAGGCTATGACAAAGATCAGATGAAGCCATGGACGGGGAGACTGGGGAGTACGAAGGAACACGCGAGGGGCGGCGATGCCGGCAGCCGCACCTTCGTGGCGGGGTGGGCCCTTGGTGACTTACCTGCACGGCGACCAGACTGGGGCCGGCCTCAGGTCTAACAGGGAGTGGTCAGTATCCCAGAGAGCTGGGAAGAGAATGGGTCAGAGTCGGGCGGACAGGGCTTGAAGGGGCGGGCTGCCTCCTGATCCTCCGTGGATTTCTTGGGCTCCGTCATCAGTGAGGCCGCTCCTTACTAGCTTCTTGGCTACCTTGTCCAGATGGAGGCCTGGGCTGGGGGACAGCGTCCTTGGCATTTGGGGGCAGGTCTCCAGGGTTGGTCCCTGGCACCTAGAGCACTTCATTGGGAGGCTCCAGGCCCTCATTCCTGGCATCCTCCAAGCCTAGGGTGGACTGTGCTTGTTGGCATCAGGAGGCCCTGGGGTCAGTGACACCTGAATAACCTCCTAGAAGCCCCGTCTCCATCCCATTGCTCCAGACAGCTCACTCCTGTCCATACCCTCTGTCCTAAGTAGTGCCTTGGCCCAGGGTCGGAGTCTGAAGGGTAGAGCTGAAGCTGAAGAGGAGAGATGCTAAGGTTCACATCCCTCAAAGCCTCCATTCTCTTTCCAGTCAAAGCCAGCCTGGTGTCAGGGATTGAACGTTAAGGTGAGGGGAATGCCAAGGGATGGTCTCTGCTTTCCTGGTTGTGGTTGACTCTTCCCACTGGGGGCCCTGAGGAAGGCTAGGGAGGAGATGGTGGCTTCTGGGGGATTGTGCAGCACGGGGAAGCAATCCCTGCCTCATTGTTTGGGCTAAAACCTTCCCTAATCCCCCCTTCCCTCTGGGCTGGGTGGAGCCCAACACGCAAGAGGGGTTGCATCTGAGCTTGGGTCTAAAGAGGGGGGCACAGGAGACCCCTCCCTCCCTCCCTAGAAGCAAGCAGGGAAGGTGGGCCCAGGTGAGTGGCCCAGCTTGGCAGTGAAGGGTTGTGTCTGGAATGGCTTCCCCAAGGCTTGAGCCTTTCCCCTTTCCTTAAGGGGAGTCCAAAGCTGGCCATGTGCCCAGGAGCATGTGGCTTCCTGGGGTTCAGGCTGCTGCTTTCACCAGCCTCTTCAGCCAGCAGTGCCCTGAGGAAATGGGGAAGCATGGGTGGGTCAGCCCCCTCCCCGTTCCAGGCCCCTCCCACCCCTGAAAGCTGATAGCCGTGGGGCCCCCGCCACCGCCCAGGAGTGTGAAATGGGGTGTGCCGCTAGGCGGCCACAGCAGCTCTTGATCCGCCTGGGCCCATCCCCTCCTTTCTCTTGGATGCCTCTGGCACCTAGACCCACTCAGAAGGCCCAGCCTTGAACGTACAGCTCCCCAGAACTCCGCCAGTGTCCCTTGGGGAGATTGTGGTTGCTGCTGCCTCACTAGTATCCACTCAAGAGGGCTTGGCTCCAATTTGCCAGAAGTTTAGGGGTCTCCCTTGGGACCTCAGCTTCTCCCAGAGTCCAAGGAAGCTCTAGGCCCAACCTCCCTGTTCTGGGCTTGTTAGTGGCCTCTTTGGGGGCCTGAGAAGTGACCAGATCTCCCAGAGGTCTTTGCCAACTCACCGCCCTGGTCCAGCAGTGGGATCTAATCTGGCAGTAATAACGGTGGCTTACGTGGATGCAGCTTCTTGACATCTGCAAGGCCTTCACATTCCTTGTCTCAAGAGCCTCATGACAGCCCTGTGAGGCAGGGGCTGTTATTAACCCAGTTTTGCCAATGGTGAGGTTATGTGCTTGTTTCCAGGGCCACAGAGCAAGGATCAAGAATACAGGTGGAAATCCCTTCCTTCTTTCCAGAGATGGTGCCAGCCTCACCTGTGGCCAAAGTGGGTAGGGGAAGAGACACAGCACAGCCTGTTGGTGCCTCAGGCCTGGGAGCTGTTGCTGCTGGGGAGGGTCTGCAGGGCCAGAGCTCTCACCTTGGCACCACAGGAGGGCTCTGCAGGGGAACTTTGGAGAAGGAGAAGCATCCTCCTGTAATAAGACCAGCAGGAATCATCGCCCTGTCCATCTGGCTTACCAAGCTGCATCTGTCTCCTCTGAGCCTCCCACAGCTCTCCGTAGTGCTTGGTGGCTGGGGCCAGGGTCCCTGTGTCACCCCCTTGCCTCATCTTGGTGCCTCTCTGCCCAGGCTTCAGGGATGGGACAACGGAGTGTGGGCAGTTAGAATGCAGGATCCCACCTTCCACTTTGTCTTCCCTGGGCCCCTAAGCACCTTGAGTCAGCTCTGACACCTGGAGGCCGCAGAGGGCTGTCCTTTGCCTCCCCCGAACCTTCTGGAAAGGCCCTGGGCTTAGAGCTGGGGCCCAGAGGCACTGGCACAGTCTAGAGCCTTGGTCTGCCAGGAGGGAAGAGGAATCAGACATGGGGAGCCTCTCAGCCCCACCTGCTTCAAGGGAAGGGGGGATTAGCTCAAACAATGCAGTAGGCTGGGGGCCCCCTGGCACTGCGCATGCACCCTAGTAGCCCCTCACCCCTCCCCCACCCCTCCTTGAGGACCCACTTTGGCTTTGGGGAAAGCCACATAGCTAGAGGGGAGGGAGTGTGGAGGGAATGAATTGGCTGCCAGGGGCCCCAGAGGACCGTGGGGCTTCTTCCTCTTTCCCCTCCCCCAACACCCCCAGCCCTGCAGGCCCCACCACCCGCCCTGGGCTCTTAGAAATCTCAGATAGTGAGACTTCCTAATCCCCACTCCCATCCACCCTGGGCCTGCTCCCATCCCCTCCCGAAGGGCCTCCCTCCCCAAGCTCTCCCTCTGCCTCAGTCCTAATGGGTCTGTATGAACAACGGGCCGACTCTAGGAGCCAGAGGCCAGACCTGGGCAGGTAGGCCCTGCGGTTCTCACCTGGTCTGCCCCTGGGTAGAATGCTGCTACCAGCCTGTCCCCCTCCCCAAAATCTCCTCCTTCGAAGGGTCTGACCTGCCTGACCCAAGAGTTCAGAGCCCTTCTGACCATTCCCCACCTTGGCCGCCAGGTGTCAGGCATTGTCCAGCCCATAGGAGAGTCCTTGTTAACTCTTTCCCTCCCAGAGGCCTGCTTCCTCTGATAGAGGGCTTAGGGAACAAATTGTATGGGACCTGGGATTGTCCCCAGGGCACTGATTCAGCCCGTGGTTCTAACAGCTGAGGCCATGCCCCCGTCTCCAATGTCCTCTAGTTACTCCCTTCCCAGTCTATAAAAGCCTTTGTCCCCTGCCAGGAAGTTGGGGGACCAGGCTGAGTCAAGGAGCGGAAGAGCTGGGGGGACAAAGGCTGGAAAGAAAGGTGGCCTAGGGGGATGGTGAGCACCCAGCATCATAGCCCAGCCAGGCCTGAGTCACTCTCTGAACCTTGCCTCACAGGCCAGGGAAAGATCATGGGACTCTGCCCTCTCCCCCTACAGGGCAGAGCTTGAGGCCCAGAATGAGAGGATAAGGGCAGCAGTCTCTCAGCCTCCCCCTGGCCCAGGCTTAGGAAGTGGTCAGGGCCAGACCTCGTGGAAATTGTGAAGCATGCCAAGTATGCACACCACCCCCCAAGGTGGCCCAGCTACTACTACCCGCCTGTTACAGATTCCCTGTAATATCTCCTAGGATTCTCATCGCCTTCCCAAGCACTTAGGGTGAAAACCTAGCAATCAGATCCCCTAATCAATGTTAATGAGAGAGGATGGAAGAGCTGCCTCCCCAAGAGGCCCTTGGGCAAGTCACTGCACCCCTCTCTGGGCCTCAGTTTTCTCCTCTGTAAGGAGGTAGGGCTAGATGATTCCTAACGACCTTCTAGCTATAAAATTCTTTGATTCTATCATCTCTCCCCCTCTCAGGTAACTCATGTTCACAGGAAATGAGTTTTTCTCTTCCTCTTCAGGTTATACTCTATTTAATTAATTTATTTAATGACACCCTTGAAAAGAACGTATACTCCTGGAGGGCAGGCACTGGTTTTCATTTTTTTTATCCTCATATCTCCAGTCCCTTACACTTTTTTGGGGAGGGGGTCAAGAGCTGTGATAAACAGTGAAGGGATTGCTTAATGTGAGACCCCCCCCACCCCTGCCACCTGCAGATTTGTAGCCTGTCCGCTATTCTGCTCTTAGAAGGCTGCTAGAAGGTCCCACAGCCGGGGGGTTGCTAAGGCCAGATGCCAAGGCTAGCCCTTTACTCACTACCTTTCACCTTATGCATCAGAGTCATCTAGTAAATATTTATTGAATTGAATGGTCTAATATTGTCAGCCCTGGACACAATTATAACATCTCTTCATCCATTAATATTCCCCTCTCCCTAGGTGGTACACCTGGGGGGCCATCTAGACTAACCCCCCTGACTTTCTGGCTCAGAGAAGTGAATTGACTGGTCTAAGGTCACATAGACAGTAGGTGATGGGGTCAAATTTGACTAGATTTGATGCTTTCTAACCCTGCCTCATATC